GTTTTGAGGGGCGTCCTCTCCTATTTGAGATTTTTTTGGAATTAGCAGACTGCTAGACTATTTTAGATGGCATCTGAAAAGAAGTAAGCTAAAAAAAGAAAGTGTGTTTTACTAGAGTGCACGAGAAGCACACACACAAGATGAGCGACCATTATTTTTTTTCACGGTAAACGAAGTGGGGGTGGCTAGCCACCCTATTCACCAACCTCCCCCCACCCCCTTAGATCCGCAACTGGTAGGGGCTTTTTATTTAAAAAAGCAAACTATATTTGTAATTGAATTATATAGTTTTGTAATGGTATTTGTAGATTTTAGGCCTATACTTGTAAATGTGAGCAACTTTAATTGTAATTGTGTCAGAAGGTGCACAAATGAATGCTGTAGTAGTGTGGCACAGGGGCAGATCCAGTAGGGGGCGGGGCATGTCCCCCACCCAGTTTTGCCGCTAAATTTTAAAAATTTCAATCCATATTAATGTTATGTGCTACTCGCTTACCTATTCTGGAACTGTTGTGCGGCCCCACCCCCTTTGAAAAATCCGCCCCTGTGACAAGTATCAACAGTACAGTAATAATGACATCATACCAATTTTCTTCTATAGTTAAAACCCACTGTTTTTTTAACACATGTGGAAAGAATAACAGTGACTAAGTTAGTATAATTTAAGATAAATCATTATTTTTATGAATGTGGGTATGTTTATTTATTTATTCTGTTTTACTCTAAGATAGATATGGCAGGCTGTAAAGGAAAATATTCCCAATAGGATTCACTTACCATATACATATTCAGAACAGATTGAACTTATTATTTGTTAACCTAAAAACCAATTAAATATGACTTGCTATACATAAGGCTATAGGCTTCTCCCCCAGAACCCACCGGGGCTTTCCCCTGCCTCCCAGGCAAAGCTTGAGCAAATTGTTAGCTCAAAAATAGGAAATTTTGAAGTAATTCGTATATAACTCACACAGGTTCTTGTTTGCACAAGTGGATCTTCTTCCGCTCGAACTAGCATCTGCTCGAAAAAAATTCTGCTTGAATTCGCTCGAACTGGCATTCGCTCGAAGTGGCATCTGCTCGAATTGACTGGTTCCCAAAGTGGATGTGTTTATTCATGAAAAAAGCATGCCGGGAAAGTTTGCCTTACCAGGAAAAGGTGACGTAATCTTATGACGTATGCATGTTAACTATATTGTGAGTGTGACGTCACCAAAAAATAAAGATAAAAAACTATCTCCTTGCCATACAAATTACAGCTCCCATGGACGTCTCAGTTGAGAAATACAGGCAGCTGAAGTTTTTCTCGCAAATCTGACTACAAAACCAAATCCAAATTCCACTTCTGACTTTGAGTTGTGCTTCGCAGCCTGCGTCTAGGTAGTCATCGGTAGTTCCAACATTATTTATTTCTTACACAGGCATCAGTATTCGTACAACATACAGAATCAGTGTCAATTTTCTATTTTACATTTTTTTTTTGTCCCATTTTCTTTCATATCTCAAGTTTTACTAATAATGTATTTCATTTTTTTGGCTATTAATGTAAAAAAAAATTCCCTTGTCAAAAATTGGACAAGGTTTCACATACCTGCTTTCCTGCTCAGTTTACAGAAGGCAATATTTTGTTTAATTTTTTGAAAAAGATTTTGCTACTTTTTTATGTATTGATTTGATATTTTGGCAAGTATTATGGCATCTAGGTAGTCATCAGTAGTTCTGTTACTTATCTCTTACATAGGCATCTGATCAGTATTTATTCAAAATACAAACCATTGTCAATTTTCTATTTTTCTTCTTCTTTTTTTTTTTTTGTTGTGTCCCATTTTCTTTCATATCTATATAACTTATTTATTTATAGCTTCTTTGTTTTGTTACTTTGTGTCATATTTTACCTTTTTTTTTTTAATGAATTGCTTTTACCATTTTTTTTTTTAAATGTCTGATTTTTTTTCTTCAATTTATAACAAAGGAGAGTCGTATATTAAGCAACACTTGGGTGTATTTTTTTTCTTTGTTAGCCAACTGGTGGAGTTACTGCGCAGTGGCGGCCACAGCAGGTTTATTACCAGATTCCTTAGCTTGGTGAGCCTTCAACACAATCACAGCCTCGTCAACCTAAAAAAAACACAAAAAAATTTTTGTCATTCAAAGAACATACATACTTTGGTCACCTTGTATTCTGCTAAGTTTAAAACCAAACACCAGTTAAGAAATCACTACAATACTACTACAACCTTATAGAACACGGTAAAAATGGCTTTACTCATTTTGGACAAACAAAAAACTAAATCACACAATACCTTTGCGCTCAAAGAGTCATGGGATTTCAACATGTGAAGCAACTCAGCGTTGTCAATCTCCAACAACATTCCAGTGATTTTACCAGCTAGCTCACCATGGCTAGGTTGAATAATATGGTATAAACGCTCACCCAACATCTGCTTCTGCTCCTGGGGGGTGGCCTGTGCCAGCCTGGATGGGGTCAGTGGCTTCTGTCCAGGAACTTGGACAGCTTGTTGTGGAACATCCTGATTAGCAAAAACAAAATAGCATACTACCATTATATATTATTACAATATTTTTTCCATCACTAACCATAACATTTATAAGGTAAACTGAAACTTCAAACCTTAAAATATAACACTAAATTTCTATAGTTTCTCTTAGTTTGCTAGTACAGTGTTTCTGACTGATGTATAATTCATTAGCAAACATGAAATGCAATTTATAAGAAAACTTGATGCACAATGGTAATTTTTCACTATAGTTTAGACAAGAATGGATCATTTATCATTTACAATTTAGGGTAAACTCTTTATAAACACGTTATATTGTCATTGCGGACTTATAAAATCTGCATACGCCTTAAAACTAAAAGAAAATGCATACGTTTAGAGTCCGTACTAAGCCCAAAAAATCTGCAATGAAAATATAACGTGTTTATAGTTTGTACAACTTACCACAGGAATTCCAGCAGACTGACTAGCAACAGTCTGATTGCGCACAGCATTAGCATACTTCACTTGGCGTTGTTGAGCTGGTACAGTTGGAATTCCTTGAGCGGCAGCAACACGGATAGCAGACTGAGGGATCACCCCTATTGGAAGAGAAAATTCACGATTAGTACAGGGCTGTATTGACATTTGTGACTGGATCTGGCAAAACCCACCATTTTTTGCAATTCTTAATTTCCCACAAGCATCCAAAACGTTCAAGAATCAGAATTTTTGAAAATTTTCATGTTTTTGCATTTTCCAAAGAATCTTTGGAAGCTGTTTTCTCGAAACCTACATGGCTGATATCCATTGAATTAAATATTCATAACTTCGCTAATATTCAACCTATTTCCATCAAATAAACACTGTTTTAAAGAAAAATGCACCACAGCAGGTTTATTACCAGATTCCTTAGCTTGGTGAGCCTTCAACACAGTCACAGCCTCGTCAACCTAAAAAAAACACAAAAACATTTTGTCATTCAAAGAACATACATACTTTGGTCACCTTGTATTCTGCTAAGTTTAAAACCAAACACTAGTTAAGAAATCACTACAATACTACTACAACCTTAGGCTCGAGCTTGCACAAATGTTTTGGTCGCGTTAATCCTCAATTTACTCCGTTAATTCTATTCACAGCGTTAATGTTGTGATCACTAGTGCGTGCAGTCTTCTGTGGTTGATCGCCACGATCCCACTGTAGGCTAACTAGATAAGCTGTGTTAACCTAACGCGGAACTCACGCTAAGAGCTAAGCCTAAAGAGCTACTTACGCAATTAACGCAACCATTTACGCTTATCGGTGCAGCCGACAATACAGTTCTGGACACTGTAGCGAAATTAAAAATCACTATGGAAAAACAATTTTGCAATCGTACAAATATGGGAATTTGATGTGATTTGAATGTGGTGTACTGGCTGCCTCTGTTTCTTTCAAACATAGTTAAAATTCCTCGTTCTTAACGACACTAGGCCTAGCCTACATGCTTTTCTCTCGAAATAAAGAAAAGCTGCTTATTTTTTAACAATCAATTTATCTACTGCCCAGTCAATCGACAATTACACTCCTCCAACACATGTCTGGAAAATTACAGACGGAAAAAGTCACTACTCACATGTATTCTTTTGATCAATGCAATGTTGGTGTCGTGAGTCGAACAAACGTCAAAGAATAGATCGAAGACTGTGTACGTTGTTTTAGAACGTTTATTGGAATTTCAACTGGAACTTATTGCAGACGATAAAACAAAGGAAGAACAATTATGGGAAACAAACACCCCTGCAATGCTCTCGTAAATATATCAGGCAAGTTGACCTCACAGATAAACCTCTCAGTTTTCTAGGTTTTCATCAACATCAGATAACGCAAAGTCATGAATTAAAACTCTAAACAAAGGTTGCTTAATCTCTCTGCCGGGACACGTCTTGTCACACTCAAGGCAGGTTACCAACTCACTAGGCTATCTTAAAAAACGCGCTAGCCTCAGCACAAGGACGCAATGTAAATACCGATGCGCAAGGGTCTGACCTTGCAGATATAAACTGATAAAATGATACATACACATACAAATAAAGTAGTTCAGATAAACAAGCAAACAAATAACATTTCGGCGAATAGCATTTCCAGTTCCTGACATCGGAATCGCTTTTTGGGGGACTCCTTATTGTTTTTGCACATGACCATGTCGAACATGGTATGTTTATTGCAATATAAATTCGCACTATTCTAGTCTAGACCTGACACATTTAAACACTCTACCCAGAGCCATCATAATTTTAGTTGAGTTGGGCGACATGAGATGTCTGGAATTTGCAGACTAGTCTACTTTAGAGTACGAACAGCAACCATTAGGCCGACTTCAAGTATTTAGTCCTAGCATGTTTTGTGTGCTTCGTGCTTGTGTGTGAGGAACGCCTGAAACCAACGACATAGAAAGGGTACCTAGATGGGATTTTGAAGTTGTCTTATAGTTGAGGATTTAGGCCCTACATATTAAAGATGGATCATTTTTTGTCTCGAAAATGTCGAAGAGGTTTCAGAGATTCTACGGAGATTCTAGCTAGACCGGGACGGCGGTATCGGCCCATGTTCACTCACTCCGTCAGAGAGTTAGTATCTTGTTCCTCTTGCTAGTAAAGCCTAGATATACCACAACTACACTATTAATTACAGGCAGTGCTTTCCTTCGTTGAAAGGTAAGCAATTTTATTTATTTTTCAATCAATGAAATAAGGATGGGCCAGACTGACCCTGCGAAAAATATTAGGCCTAGAAATCTGCACTGCTGTAAACAGGTTGGTTACAGCAGTTGAAAACGGGTTGACCGTGAGAATATCAATCTAGCCTGGGAATGTCCCGCACTGAGGTGGAACTCCCTGGTTCTACACCTCCAATCATTGCCTTGACGTTGGCTTAATAATTTAGACACGCAATAAGAAAACGATTAAAAACTCTCTCATGCACAATAGAATAATATTAAATGATAAATATCAAATATATATATATATATATATATATATTTATATAGTATAGGCCTATATATAGTAATTAGGATATATGATGTAGTACTACTGTATATCTTTATATATATTATATATTATATAGGCCTATATACAGTGTATATATACATATATATAATATATACAGTGTATATATATATATTTAATTATATATATACAATATACTAGTCTATATATATATATATTATATACATATTATATAGGCCTATATACATATTCTATATACTAGTCTATATATATATTATATACATATTATATAGGCCTATATACATATTCTATATATATATATATATATACAGTACAATAACTAAATTAAAATGACATGTAAGAAGTGAACGACAAAAAAGCAACACTTTGCTAAAATACAGCTGAACAACTCCTATCACTGAAACTATGTATCGTTGAACAAGGCAGCAGCGCGTTTACATTCCTGAAGGCGGCGTTCAAAGAATCAGATCAGACACTAGCGCGTCTACATTCCTGAGTTGGCGGCGTTTAAACACTACTATATGTGACTGACCTTGCGTCTGCTTCTCCCATGCTTCTCCTAATCATGGGAACCTACTTGTGTGGGAACGTTTCTCACTGAATTCACTGTTGCAATTTGCAGTAATGCCAACTGGTGATATATGCCTATTTCAGAGTCTATGAATTTAGAGTCTTATAATATATCATAAAAATACATACATTTTTTCTTCTCCCGGGGAGCAAAGGGGCGTTGTCGGGCGTCGCTTAAAATATTTTTTAATTGGTCCGGGTGGTAAAGTCTAAATACATTTTGGACAATTAAGGCTTATTTAATTTAATTTTAATTGATTGATTGATTAATTAGGCCTAATACGTAGAATATATATTTTTTTTTCCCTCCCCGATTGATTATTGTTCTTATCCTCAATGGGGGGGGGGGGGAACTGGCCACCGACTGGCAACAAAGAATTTCA